CAAAACTAAAACTACAAACCCTACCCCAGGCAGGGCCTCCACCCGCTGTGAACTCCCTTCTCTGGGCTTTTCATTTCTCTGATTGGTGCCTCTTGAGCCTTAGGACTTAGAATCTAAAGTCTTAGACAAAAATCCAATTTTTGTTTGTTTGTTTTGACAAATGAAGACACAATCCTTGAGAGAGACGTGACTTAATTCAAAGTGTGGCAGAGCTAAGAGTTGGAAGAGACGGCATCTAAACGCCAATCCTGGACTCTGCCCTCTACAGCTAGATGCTCTGATGCAATGGACCAGGATGTGGCAATTTACCCTGGTGATAACAGTAATCAATTCCACCAAGGACTTTTTTTCTTTATTATATGTGAAGGATTTGAGGTCTAGGTTTTCTTTTTTTTAAAAATCTTGAATTCTAAGAAAAAAACATCCCCCGACTTCGCCTCTTTCTGGTGCCCCATTGAAAAGGAATTTGTACTGGCATCAGCATTCCATATATATATATATCCAAGTGCTCCCAGTAAAATCCACCCAGCTTCATTTATTCCAATGATTAGACATTTAAATAAAAGTGCTTGGATGTCTGTTTTCATAGGCATGGGCCAACATCTGTACATCAGGCGTGTTTGTACAAGTGACACTTTTATTACATTCATTTCATTTGCAATATGATACAGGATCATAAATATGTTATTTTATGTCACCATATCTGATTTGTAGCACTTAGACCTTCACACGAGGTACAGTGTGTTTATAGAGTACCTTTCAGCAGAGAAGTACTTTACAAACATTGGGCCAGATTCTCTGCCAGGGGAATTTATTATTCGCTGGGTCCTCTTGAGGTTCTCTCTCTCTCTCTCTCTCTCTCTCTCTCTCTCTCTCTCTCTCTCTCTCTCTCTCTCTCTCTCTCTCTCTCTCTCTCTCTCTGTGTCTCTCTCTCTTTCTCCCTCTCTCTCCCTCTCTCTCCTCCCTCTCCTCCTCTCCCCTTTTCCCTGTCTCCCCTCTTTCTTGCTCTCTCTCTTCCTCCCTCTCCCCCGCCTCTTGTTCTTGCTCTCGCCCTCTCTCTGTCTCACTCTCTCTGTCTCTCTACTTTTCTCTCCCTCTTTCCTTC